AAGTGTTGATATTAGACTGCTGAGAATAAGCAGAGAGTGAGATGGAGAGAGATAGAGAAAGAGAGCGAGATAGAGCTATGGGTCCACAGCTCTCTAGAGTGAGCTGCAAGAATAACATGACAAAACGTCATCAGCAGGCGCTCAAAAGAATGCTGAGAAACCCAAAAAAAAAAAAAAATATGGAACTTTCAAGCTGCTGCCAGTTGCTGGTGCTAGTTCGGGCTCCATGCACCACCACAACTCCCCTTCCGTAAAGCAGCCAATGTCAGCGCAGCATCATCAACTAAAACAACAACAACAACAAAACCAACCTAAAGTGCAATGAAAAACTCGTCGCGACCGAAAAACAAGCCAAAAGATAGCCAACATTTTTGCTGTCACAGTTTTCGACTTTAATGTGACTTGTGGCTAAAAATGATCCTGGGGGCCAGAAATTAAAGGCGCTGAAAACTTTGGCAACGGGGCCTGCGGGGCGTTGTCTAAGTAGCTGCCTTGCCGGGCTGCACACAATATAATTTCTATTTATTTGTATAATATTTTACAATTTTATAAAGTAAACGAAAGCGGTTGAAATATGAAGCAAGCGTTCAGGGACGGCTCCAGGCGCAAACAGGAAGGCAACACACACACACACACACACAATGGAGACAGAGTGGAGTCAGACGGAAACGGAAGCTGGCAAAACGTAAGACGCAAGCAGGGGCGAGCAAAAACAAAGGAAGAAGCAGCTGCAGCTACATAGCAGAAAAACAAAACAACAAAACACAAAACAGAAACGCAGACAAACACTAAAGTTCTGCAACAACAATTCACACACACACACACACACACACGCACACACACCCTTTAGACTGAATACATATGTCTGGTATAATGCAGTGTCTATGACTTAAGGTTATGGCTTTAAGCAAGAAAAACCTTTCCACGCAGAGTTCAATTTAGGGGAATATAATATACAATGGAGAAGTAAGTGTTAGTCGAGGCTTCTGTGAGCTAACCTTAGGTCTAAGGCTCATGCTTAAATTTGACTTAATTTTAAGATATTCCTATTGAAAAGCTCTTGCTTATCTCTGAACTATAAGTGAACTATTGCTGCTGCTGCTTCCGAAAGAGCAAAGCACTCGACTTTGAGTGACAGCGCGATTGTGACTGCATAAACTTATGAAAGCAAAAATGATGCTGCGGCTTCGACTTGCGATTCTAACGAAAATCGAAATCAAACAAAATGAATGACTTTGGATTTGACTGTGACTCGGCTGATGAAGAATGTTTTCCAGCACTGCTTCAAAGCTTTACTCAAACCAAGTCCATTCACAGATTTTAGGAAATATATAGCTGAAAGTGCAGTTCTTCCAAAATAAATTCAGAATTTGTTGTCGCTGCTTAAATACATGGGCGCTCAAATCTAGTAAAAGGCATATACAGGGTATTTCGAATTGTTTCTCGCCAATAAATTAGTAATGCAGCAGTGCAGATACGCGTCGTATATTTTACAAATTTCATTAAGTGCAGGGCCCAGGAAAAAGACAGAACAAAATAAATTTACGGCTTATGCCGGGGCAGAACAATTTTTATAGCATACTTTTTTGGCGGGCTGGAAAAAATGCAATTAAACAAATAAATTTTCACATAAACCTTTTTGCCTGGCGCAGGCGGAGACAAAAAACAAGCAAAGCAACAATAAAAAATGACGTAATTTACCTCAATTAACACGCCAGTTGCACCAGTTGTAAATGTGTGTGTGCTTGTGTGTGTGTGTGTATTGGGCGTGTGAGTTTAATTGCAGCCAATGGTCAGCATCGCCATTTGGCAGCAAACAAAGCCGTAAACGTAAACGTAGCCGTAACCAACAGCGCAATGGTCGCACAGCTTCCGTTTATTCATTGGCTGCGGATGGCTGCGAGGGGCGTGCCAGGAGCGGGAGGGGGTTGCCTGCTGGCTGCTGCACACGGCCCAGCTGAGTTTCATCGCCGCTCTTAACGATACACCAAGTGTTTCGTAGATGCTGGCCATTTGAATTCAACGGCCCTGGCGACTTGAACGCTTACCAAGTAATGACCGCTGGCAGCCGAAACATATCGACCCAGCAGCTACCCGACCGGGCACACCCCATGCCAGCACCTGTCTGTCTGGTCATTTAATGTGCATGTAAATGTGAGCACATTCCCCAACTATCAGCCAACATACCTAGTCATTAAAGTTCACTTTATGTGCGCCATTTTACAGCGGCTCGCCTTGCTCCATCTCTAAATAAACAAAAATGAACGAGACTGTCCAGTCACTGGACCTGCTCCTCTTTCTGTACCTAATTGTATGTCTGCGAGTATGCGTTGCATAAAATGCTAATTTTATGATCAGCCACAGACAACAGACAAGCTCAAGACACACAGCATACAACTCGACTAAGGGATACCCATTACTTTGCAGAATGTGAGCCACAGCATTTAAGCCATTTATCTAATGACTCTTGCTGTCACGTTTTCATTTTGAATCTTTTAATAAGAAGCCAATTTAAATATCACTTTAATCATTATTGAATCAAAAATCGTTTATCGATTGGATAACCCGCTGATAAGCTTCCTTACAGTCCACTGATTACATGGTATCGTTGGCCCTAACAAGCTTCGTGCCGTACACTTTAAGATTATGGCTTTCTGCATGGATAAGAGGCAACAGCTGCTGGCCATTAAACGATTGTTTATGAGCGTGTCCTGAATATTTAAAATAACTACATAACATTCTTTACAAGTTGGTTCCTAAAAACATAATAATAGGAAAAATTATTCATTAATCTTTATCTATAACAAAAATATTTAAAACATTCTACAGGAAATTATAGCTTTTATTAATTTGTCTTGTATCTCCAGAAATCTCTATATTTAAGACTGTTTAAACTGACAGTATGATGGTCAACTGTAGATTGGATTAGATTGCACCTAAAATTGAAATGTATAATTATTCGCTCATCAAACGAATCTTTATAAAAATTCATTTGGGATGGCTTTCACATTTTCTTTTGAAAATTTAATCCAGCCTGTAGATTTGGGGGATGAAGTTTCAGGTTCAAGCTGATGTCCCTATGTGTTGGGCACCAATTGCTAAATCAAAATATTTGCTTCATTATTTCTTTGATCCTGAAAAATTGAAGGATGTTGATACCGTCAACTAAATCAGACTAAGAAAGGAAAACTATTTGTTTTAAATAAAGAATGACATTTTTTTGTAACTCGTCTGCACTTTCTATGTCTACATCTACATATCTACATAACAATTCATAATGAATTCATTATGATAGACAAGATAGAACAGCCGGACAGACAGCCGGACATTAAACAACATCAATATGCTCTTTTCACTTTGAGTTCACATTTTCATTTTCTTCTTTTTTTCAGTGTACTTTAGACTAAATTAAGTAAAGATGTTTCTCTTCTCAATGAAGGTTCCATAAGCAACAAACCGCAATGAATGAAATTCACTCAGAAACTCTACACTATAGTCCACTTCGAAAAGCTCCCGTTTATTTCGCTTTAGTTCCAGCCGCTTATCTGTTTAGCACACGATATTGCATCCAAAAACCCTTTGTGCTAAATCCAATTGGACTCCAAAATCTGTCTGTTATAGGCGGCAGAGAGAGAGAGAGAGAGCGAGAGTGAAAAAAAGAGATGTGTGCCTTCTCTGGCATTTAAGCCTAATTTGTACACCCAACTGTGCCACGACTGAGGCAATTACAGTTAAAGGCAGGGCTGTAGCTCTAGTGGAAGCAGCCCTCGCTTTTATCTCCTACTCTTTCGCATTTCTCACAATCTCTATCTCTAATCACATAGCAGGCTGCAATCGGCTTTTGAGCTGGTGCCGCATCCTGTTGATGGCCTCGTTAGTTGCGACTTAGCGTCTGCCGCTCAGGGACAGCCCAACGAGCACAGTACAATCAACATTTCGCACACACACAGACACACACACACTTGACAGCTTGACCATAAAAACGAATGTCCTGACGTGCTTCAGGCAAAAAATAAAAATGTAGAGCAACAAAATGCCATCAACCGAAGGCCCACAAGCTTTAGCTGCCATTTAATGCGTTGCAAGTTCTTCGAAACCAAAACTTTGGTTAGGCAAAAGTAAAATATAAAACTTAACAAATAAATTTAACCTTTGTGCTGTTGGCTATAAAACGCTTTTAAATTTAATTAGAAGCAAGCCAAAAATTGAGCCCAGGTGACTGGCAAAAAACCCAGCTATTTCGCTCGGCACAGACGTTAACATTGTTGCATGGTTTGTTGTTGCATGCAACTAGTTGCACAGCTTGCATTTTAATGGTTGTAACAGTTTAATGGCCATTTTAAAGGCATAAATCAGTGACGGCTATGAAAAACGAGCCAAAGATTGCGTTTTATGCGATTAAAGCAGCAGAAGCAACAGAATTGCGCCCCATGCAGCAATTGCGATTAATTCCTTAGAGCAACATTACTTGCAACTCAGATTGTGTTCGAACTACTCTATAGATGGTAACAATTCATTATTTCCATTTCTCAACCACTTTACCACTCCAATAGATACTCATATAGTATATATACATATATATGTACAGTTTCTTAGATTCTAAGCTTTCGGCTTGAAGGTTGATTATTCAGTCCTTTAATGTATGTTAAGGTAGTAAAATATCAAATATTTCACTTTTGATTTCAATAAACCTGATATTCTCTTCTAGCATATGCAGTAATCAGTTCTCAGTACCTATGCAATATTTTGTAATCCTTACTTTAATACGCCCACAACTGTTACTACAGACTTCTAATGTCCCTATAATGCGCATTATCAATCTTGCATAAGTCTCTTTTCCCTTCCCCCGTTCTGAGATTGCGTGCACTTTCCATAGCCGTGGCACATGGGAACAAACTTAAACTGCACATATTTGCAACAATTAGAAAGCAATTACAACATTATATAATTATGACAAGCAAGAAATCCTATAGCTAGAGCACAACAAACAAACAGTCAACATGAGACCTTCGGTGCGTATCCACGAGCTGGTCGCAAACATCAACTACTACGCGAAGCAACTGGGATTGGATCTGCTGGCGCCAAGGCTGAGGTTCGTCTTTCGCACCTGGATCACAATGTCTGCACCTGTGAGCTATGTGATATTTGGTGTCTCCTGGGCGTTCCGCCAGACCCAACAGCATTGGATGGATGGTCTGAAAGCCAGCATCATGTTGGGGGGTCTAATCAATGGGAGCACTGAGCTGCTTTCTGTCATACAGAATCATTCGGCTATGAGGAATATGATGAACTACACCATTGAAATCTTTGCAGACTATGAGAGTCGCGGTGCGGAATATTGTGCTGCTCTCAACTTTGGCGTTGATCGGATGCTGAAAATAAGACGCATCATACGCATTGGTTACTTTGTATCATTTTTCGTGATGCTTGCGGTGCCCTGGGCGTTACTCTTATACGATGGCACACGCGTCACAGTCATGCAGTACGAGATTCCTGGTCTACTGCTAGAGAATAATGTTGGATACACGCTCACATATTTGCAGCATATGATTGTGGCTGTTGTGGGTGGTCTTGGCTTCTACACGGCCGATTTGTTAGTACTGCTCGCCTTAGTTCAGATTCTCACGTTCGCGCACATTTTGCAAATAAAAGCAAATGTCCTGAATGATGCACTGAATCGTAAGGAGCACTCGAGATTTGAAGCTCAAGTGGGTGGCTATGCTGATAATGGAATACAATCTCTTCTCTTAGATTTAATCCAGTGGCATCAGTTGTTTACCGAGTAAGTCGCATTGCGATTGATAAATGTATCCATTAAATTACCCTCTTTTTGTATGCCTATCGTGTTATCCTTTAAATAATTTATTATAATTATTATTATTTAATTATTATTTTGTATTATTCAATATCATTTGTAATTTTCTAGCCTAGTTTTATGAATCTCACTCTCAATTCCAGTTACTGTCGGGATATCGAGAATATCTATCACAATATGATTGCCGCTCAAGTTCTCTCCTCTGCTATCTCGATTCTACTTTGCTTTTGCGTGAATCTGAACGGTTTTCATTTAATATCAACCATCTACTTATTCATTAGCGCCTACTCAATGTTGGTCTACTGTATTGTGGGCTCACAAATTGAATATGCTGTCAGTTCCAATTACCAATCGTGTTTATTACAAATTCTAATTAAAATCATTCTGCAGTACGATCAAGTGTATGACAGCCTGTGCAGCATAAGCTGGCAGGAACTAAGAGCGGATCAGCGCAAATTATTTGGCTTGATGCTGAAGGAGGCGCAGAATACGCAAACCATGACAATGATCGGCATTCTGCCACTGAGCATGCGTACAGCCCTGCAGGCAAGTGTACAGGGTATAGCCAGCACAACTTATCAAACTTCTTTGCAGATCACAAAGCTCATATACAGCATATCCATGATGATGATGCGGAATCGCAACTAGGCGGAGAGATCTTCTCTTAATAGCAGCAGCTTGTTCTATACTATTTAAAATATGTTAATGTGCTTGATATTGTTCACATTTATCAATGATTAGATAATTAGTTGCACCAATGCCAGAAACAGCTTGCAGCCAAGGCTGACAGAATTAAATTTGCCTCTAACTTAACCTTACAGACCTGCAACGATTCTTTCAATAAGAGAATTAACTAAATTCGAAGAAGCTAAAACTTCAAAGCTTTGAGCTAATATTATTATAATAATACTAATTCAAGTACTTTTTCTTGTTCATGTTCTTTCGCTTCCCCATCAATTTATGTCAATCTTACATGTTTCTGCTGTAAACTCATGATAAGTTACAAAAGGTTTAATCAAATTATTATGTGGTTTTTGAATATTCTGAAGTTGGACATTATCGATTCAGGTTGTGGCCCTTCCCATCCTTTGTATTCAGATTGCGCTTGAATAAATTTCCATACTGTCCCGTATCCTTGGCACATGGGAACTTATTTCAGCTGCACATATTTGCAATAATTACAAAATTACAAAATTAAATAATTATCACAAGCAAAACGCAGCAACTAGCAATGTGGTCTATAAAAGGCACCTGCTCGAGCTTAACAAATAAACAGTCAACATGAGGCCTTCGGTGCGTATTCACGAACTCGTCGTGCACATAAACTACTGCGCGAAGCAGCTAGGATTGGATCTGCTGGCGCCAAAGCTTAGGTTCGTCTTTCGCACCTGGATCACAATGTTTGCGCCTGTAAGCTATCTGATATTTGGCGTCTATTGGACATTCAGGGAGACGCAGCAGCATTGGATGGATGGACTAAGGGCCAGCATCATGTTGGGTGGTCTCATCAATGGGAGCATCGAGCTGCTCACTTTAATACAGAATCATTTGCTTATGAGGAAAATGTTGAACTACACCATTGAAATCTTTGCAGACTATGAGAGTCGCGGTGCGGATTATTGTGCTGCTCTCAACTTTGGCGTTGATCGGATTCTGAAAATACGACGCATAATACGCATTGGTTACGTTGTATCATTTTTGGTGATGCTCGCGGTGCCCTTGCTATTTCTAGTCTACAATGGCACTCGTGTCACAGTCATTCAGTACGAGATTCCTGGTCTGTCGTTGGAGAATAACTTTGGCTACACGCTCACATACTTGCAGCAAATGATAGTGTCCGTTGTGGGTGGAATCGGCTTCTATATGGGCGATTTGCTGGTTTTGCTCGCTTTAGTCCAGATCCTCACATTCGCGCATATTTTGCAAATAAAAGCAAATGTCCTGAATGATGCACTGAATCATAAGGAGCAGTCGAGAATCGAAGCTCAAGTGGGTGGCTATGCAGATAATGGAATACAATCTCTTCTCTTAGATTTAATCAAGTGGCATCAGTTGTTTATCGCGTAAGTTTTAACATATTAATTTAGTGTTTTTTCTTTATTATGTCTTAAATAGTCTTTGCACAATTAACGGTTTACCCAGTGAATGTTCCTAACTAACTCGTGATATTCAATTGTTACAAGCATTGAACTTTGAAACTTACTTTTAAAGTTAGCAAAATCCAATTGGTTCTAAATTTTGGAAATAAAAATAGATATTTTCAAAGCACAGTATTTTTATACTTGTACATATTGCACAGAACCGAAGATAAGTAGGGCCAAGTTAATTTTTTGACTTTGTTAATTTATCTTTTCTTATTTCCTAGTCTTATGAATCCTAATAATTCCAGATACTGTCGCGATGTCGAGAATACCTATCACAATATGATCGCTGCTCAAGTTCTCTCCTCGGCCATTTCGATTCTGCTTTGCTTTTGCGTGAGCCTAAACGGATTCCATATGATATCCACCATCTACCTATTTGTCAGCACCTACTCAATGTTGGTCTACTGTGTTGTGGGTTCACAAACTGAATATGCAGAAAGTTCCAATCACCAATTGCACTTATATTAAAAAAAAAAAACTAATTAAAATCATTCTGCAGTACGATCAAGTGTATGACAGCCTGTGCAGCATAAGCTGGCAGGAACTAAGAGCGGATCAGCGCAAATTATTTGGCTTGATGCTGAAGGAGGCGCAGAATACGCAAACCATGACAATGATCGGCATTCTGCCACTGAGCATGCGTACAGCCCTGCAGGCAAGTGTACAGGATATAGCCAGCACAACTTATTAAATTTCTCTGCAGATCACAAAGCTCATATACAGCATATCCATGATGATGATGCGCAATCGCAACTAGGCATAGAGGTCTTCTCTTCATAGAATAAGCTTGTCCTATGCTATGCAAACAAATGTAATTTTTTTTGGAACACATTTATTGATATTCAACAAAAATTAGCTGCACCAAAAATAAAAGAGATAGGAAGGAGTAGCTGAACTGTCAGATTCGATTAACTTTCTTAATGGTATTTTGGCTTGAAGTAAAATATACTTCTTTACCAAAAATGTTTGCATTTTAATAAGTGTTTCTACCAAAACTTATGTGGAATATATGCTTACATGCTATTCCTTAGTCAGAAGTGCCTTATGCTGCCTGACCAACACATATGCAGTTCCTTTAAACAGTTTCAAATGATTTAAAGTTTCAACTCGCATTAGGGAAAGGCCTTGATGAGTCGAGTAGTAATCGACTTGAGCTAGGTCTTTTGTTCCTTTGCAGTGCTGCAAAGCACTCGGAAGCGTTTAAGTGCACTTGAGTGCATTCTAATGGACTACTACATTGGACTGTGCCTTGTCGCTCTAATCAAGGCTTGGAAGGGACTTTTGCCAGTTTTTCACTAGAATGTATGCACGCATTTCTATTCTTCTTACCAGCATGGGGCATGCTTCTTGATGAGCTTTGACTTTGCAATCAAATTGCGTTCTCTCTCCTGTCTTTTGGTCCTGCAGCCAAATGTCATTTACAATTAGGAATTTTGCAAATGCCTTGAACTGGCAAATGTAATTATTTGACTAAAGACTAAGTGCAGCAAATGTGAGAGAAATATAATCAACTAAAACAAGATATCAATTTGCTTTAATAGAAGAATTTTGACTTTTATAATACTTGAAAATAGTTGAAAATATTTACTCTCACGCATTTGAGCTGTTCGCCCATGCAGCTGGCTTTGTTCAAGCAACTCATGAGAGCAACATTATCATTACAAGCGCCATTTGCTTAACCAGAACATGAACACATCTCTGAGTTGGTTTGGTAATTACGCAGTTAGTACACACACACCATTTGCTGCAGCATGTTTGAAGCGCTGATGCAGGGAGCTGGAGGCAATAACGCTCTTGAAAGAGAGAGAGAGAGAGAGCAAGAGCTTGTTTCTGGTTCCATTATGCGAAGCTTATTGGGTTCTTATGCAAATAAACAACGCCAACAACAACAATAGTATGTGAAAGCAAAGCACATCGAGGCCGGTCAGGTACGGGGTACTTGTAAATAGGCCAGAAACATTTGTTAGAAATGCGCCATTCAATACCAACAACAAGTACGACCCACTCAATAGAGCATCTCGCACTTCTATGGCCTACTTCATTAATATTTATACAAAGCGAGTTTTTCTACTTTCTATTCTCCACTCAACGTTTTCAGAATATGGCAATAACAACAGAGAGAGAGAGAGAGAGAGAGAGAGAGAAAACGCCCTCGGTTTACCAACTAGTGTGGGCTTCCCCCACCCTCCATTCCCACCCTTTACAAACTAACTATGAATAGGAAGAGCAGGCAGCCCGAGTAAGTGACTGTGCTGTTTGCTCTGGTTACGCATTGCTGATTTTGCATATTCAAATTGAGAATAATCACAGCCAAAACAAAACGAAATGCACAGCAGGACAACACCCTATGCTTAGATTGAAAGTACCATCAACGCGAATGCAGCCCAAATTCAAGCTTAAATTTCCACTTTCGAAAAATGACTGAAAAATTGATGTTTAAAATTTCCAAAAAAAAAAAAAAAAAAAAGTTAATTTAAACGGGCTACACACACAATTAATACCTTATCTCTGCCATTATTTTGTTTGTTATATACCCTATTTACACATTTAATATGTGCAGGGTATGCAATAAAAATACTAAAATCAGTAATAAAGGCTTTAAATTGATGTACTTGTCAAATATAAATGGTATCTGCGAAAATTATGACATTTATTTGCACAATTTGCTTAAAAGCCCGACAAACTCAAACATTTTATTTAATGAGTTTGCATCTCAACAGCCTAAAATTGGTTTTAATTATTGTTTCGATTTCATTTTATATATTTGCAGATTAACAGAGCTTAAAGTGGAAAATGCCAGAGAACGCACATAATTCAGGTAAGTCGGCAATCAACTTAAGACATGAAATCCATAGACTTATCACAATATATTTCAAGTTGGCTGCATTTTCATTTTCTCTGCAAATGCAAGCTTTGCCCCTGCTTCGGCTACTCCAAAGTCTGAAATGTAATTAAAGGAGCTTTAACGTAATTGAAAAGCAACAATAAATCAATATCATTTGCTCAAATAAACAAAGTGGCAACAATTGCAGCATAAAACAAATTCTAATATTCTAATGTGCCAAATGTTTCGAATGTGACACTCGCATAATTTCAAAAAATCAACCAAATATTATTTAATTTTCTCAATCGCCAAAAAGTTTCCATGCAAAGCAGCCCCTCCATTTTAAAGCAGCCTAGTTTCTTGCGATATTCAAATCAATCGTATCAGACTACTCTGTATACTCTACATTTCCCAAAAGAAGTATTTTTGAGTGAAATTTGTGTTGTTAAGTATTTTACTTCTCAGTTCACAAAATGTGAACAACTGTATATTGAACCTCTTGTATCTTTACATCCTGCATATGTGAATCAGACGGATGTTTAGTCAAAAAATAATCTTGCCTAAACATCTTCCATTTATACTACTTCTAGTTAATTTATAGAACAGACGAAACTCTAAATAGTTGACATTTGAATATTGAAATTACTTCACATGGTCTGTGCAAGGACTAATAAAGTAACCTTAGCTAAATAACCTCTATGCTGCCGAGCTCAATCAGGGCCAACCCAGGTCAAAATAAAGTAGAGCCTGTTTTCATGAGTTCAACGTGGCATGTAACCGGGCGCATCAATGTTGTTGTTGTTGTTCATGTTCTGGGTGTGTTTTGCTAGACTCCGCTTCTAGTCAAGAGCTACTCCTTGTTGTAATAGTAGTAGTAGTAGTAGCTGTTGTTGCATTTGTCGTACATCTTTGTTTACTTTGTGCTCATGTAACGCCCTCTACACTGTCAACGGCCCCAACAACGTTGTTGTACTCGGCAAGAAATTTAATTTACCAGCCGCCATAAAACGGCAGAATGGCAGCGGCCAGCCTTGGTCGGAGGGAGGGAGGACACACGCCTCTGCAATTTTGTTTGCACCGAAAAATTTGTTTGCGCTTTGCTTTAAAAGCGCCAAGCGCAACATTTTCACAATTAATTTGTCATTTCGTAGTGCAAATATTTTTCCAACTCTCCAACTTTGAGCATAACAGATACCTGGACTCCTGAGTTCCGGGCACCGTATCTCGGTTGGATATGAGGCCTTGGCCACAGCCCAGCGTATTTAACCTTCGCTTAACGAAACTTTTTGTTGCTGAAAGCATTGTAAAATATGAACAAAAGTTGAAAGCTTGCATATGCTACAAAATTCTCCACTCTAATCCTTGACTTTAAGCATACTTTTCAAGGATTTGCACACACGCACACACACAATACGCTTGTGTGCATGGAGTTGACCGTAAAAAGACTGTCCGCAAATGCATTTATTCATGAGAAGTTTTCGTTACACTTTCAGCTGCCCAAATGAAAAGCGTCACTGAACAAGGTCCAGCTAGTTGCTAAGAGACCTGACAAATACGAATGCAGCTCGTCTTAATTGTATTACAGGGCAGGCAAGCAGAAAGACAAGCTAACTCTCAGTAAGAATTCAAATAAATTAGGACTTTGCAAACTTTATACTATGCATTCCATCAATGTATTTCGCCCCGAATTCGCCTGATTATCAACTCACACAAGTAGTTGGTAAATCTGGTAATAAATATTTCCAAAATATTTGCATTTTAAAAGAACAACTTTTATGACAAAATAGGGAAGTTATAAACTATCAAAAGTGCAATTTAAGAGATGTAGTTTTTCGTAAAGTAAAACTGACAATAAATATTTCTAATTAAAATCTTGATATCTGATAGCAGCAAGAACCGAATTGTAATACAGAATGTTCTCGTAATTTATATATTTTATTCTATTTTTTATTTATTTTTCTATGCCAACTACGAAATCGAAATCTGAGCTACATCTACATTTACATTTAGAGCAAATAAAGAGGAAAACAAAAGATTTATCAAATTTGCAGCTTTGAAACATTTCAGCCGTAAAGCATGCAAAAGCAAATCCTGTGGACCAAACATTTGGCATTAAGGAAACAGAAGCTCATGCATATTGTATAATAAATATGTGTTGCATGTTAAACAAAACCAGGAGACAGCTGTAAGCCCAGCCTCCAGGTTTGGGGGGCTTGAGGTCAGTTGGTGCTGCTGTCAAAGATCTTGGGGAAAAGCCGAGACAAAACAAGACACAAAACAAACAGTCTAATAAGCCCTGGCTGAGTGGCAGTCAAACGACAAATGGCAAACGGCAAACGGACTGACAACTGTCTTAGATACACCCACAACAGATACAAAAAGTGCTTCGCTTTTTGGCATATGCCGTAGATACATATTTGCATAGAAATTTTGACTTTGGCATGAGCATAAAAAATAAATGCCAAATAAAATAAATTATATGCACGCACACACACACACACACATGTGAGTGTGTAAGGCAAATATGGTAACAGAATAAACATGAGGCAGCCGGAGCAGCTGGCCAAAAGCCGCAGGCAAACACGAGACCAACTGAGCCACAGACTCGACCAGCCCAGTATCGTCTCCATGCGCATTGATTGCCGTGTTCCAACTACAATACGTTACGTATACGTTATATTTTTGAGGGGCCAGTGTGTCTGGGCCCAGTCGCCAGCGGACAGCAACACGAGCAGCGCTCACACTGATTCTGGCTATGGTCCTGCTTCTGCTCCTGTCACTGGCTACGTGTCTGTGACACGACCAATTAGTGTTGCCAGCCCAGCTCTGATGTGCCTTGCTGGAGCCAGAGTTACACGCACACACAC